TGAGCCCATTCATTTAAACAACAACGTTATATGAGAAACGTACCTGAGAAAAACCACAGTGCTATCTCAAAGTCAATGCAACCTGTCTTTCCCGACACTAACTACCTCACACAGCATTAAGCAGAGGGGATTGACGTAAGACGTACTCTCCTCACCTCACTCACATCTGCAGGCAGTGCAGGGAGCGCTTTCGGCAGAATTCTTGCAAACTTCAAAAGAAGCAATAATAGACAGACCTAGTGCAAACTCCAGACAGAGTGAGATACTACACCATATTCTCTCCCTGTGAGAAACATTTGAAGAGATAATACTTCAGCAATTTTTAGATTGTACCCATACAGTATGTTTGTGACAAAGTAAAAGGTTTATTCACATCTCTTGAAATAAACCATATTTTTGTTTGATACAAAACAAACACATGAAACACGTGCCTTTTTTATCACTACAGGCCCAAGTCCAACGTGTTGTTGCTGATCCACAGTTTCTGAATGCACTGACACAAGTCTGATGCACTCCAAGTATAATCCATCTTGTGAGCAGCTGCTGAAGGGCTGTTCCTGTGTCCTTGTCCTGGACAGCGAGCGTGTGCTTCTCGGCTTTGGCGCCTGGTTCTATAGGTCGAAGGGAGACAATAGTTTTCCTGACATCCATTGGTCTGATCAAACATCATCACTGCTGTGGTCTCCTATTGTGCGTGTGCGTGTGCGTGTGCGTGTGTGTGTGTGTGTGTGTGTGTGTGTGTGTGTGTCTATGGTCTTTATCATATTCATCAAAAGTGAAATCTGAAATTGACTTCTGTGAGCTAGTGGTCAACCCAAGAAATATTATGTCTCATACATGTCTGGTACTCAGTGCCGTCTAGGCAGTCGACTGCCACACTGTCTGAAAGGCCCCACAGCAATGACTCAAGGCGTCCGACACCAGTGCGCTGGCGGTTCAGTGAGGTCCATAGATGGCAAGTCTCCTCCTTTAACACCACCTCCTGAATCCTGGAGTTCCCTTCTTGCTTCGGTTGTGGAGGTGGTAGGTAGGTGCAGTTCCACTCATGCAGGTATGGGCAGATTGAATGCCTATATCTCAGAGACCTTCCATGTGGTCTGCAATGCCATACTTGGTGGATGTTGTCTTTGGCAGATTGTGAATGTAAAGTTAAACATCATTGGTGAGAGGACTGATCCTTATATTGTTCAGCCATCAGAGCTGTTTTGGCCATTGCTGGTTTGTGGGAGGAAGAAACGGTTAGTTCTTGTTCCTCATTCCAGTTTTCTAATGGATCTAATGAATGTTGTACTCCACCCTTTTACTGAATAACCTCCAACCAATAATCTGTAAGTGTTGGGTCTCGATAACTCTCTTTATCAAACATGTATATTGTATTGTACTTGTACTCAATTCAATTCGATTCATTTGTGTATAGCCCTAAATAACAACAGCAGTCGTCTCCCAGGCTTTACAAAATTGTCAATACCTGAACATCACAACAGCAGTCGCCTCTGAGACGTAACAAATCTTGTATTACCTAAAGATTGCCAGTGCCTGCTCAACAGAGAGGCGGAAATAAGGTTATGAGGCGAGTTATGCCTTCAAAAGAAAACCACAGGTATGCACCAAGAAATTCCCCAAAATCCCCCAAAATTCATACAACTCATTGTTAAACAAGAGGAGCACAATCATGGTTGTAGGTTCGATCCCCCGTGCCAGTGGGAGCAGATGGAGACCTATACTCCATCTGCTCCCACTGAAGTTTGCTGTCATTGTGTTACTGGGCAAGACACTTAACCGCACTCTGCCTAAACCCTCGCTGAAAGACCAAGGCTGTGTCATCACTGACGGAGAAGCCATCCTTCATGGACTCACCTGCAGCAGGATCAGCGAGGGGCTGGTGCTATAGGGCTGAGTGGCAGCTCTGATTGTCAACCCCCCTGCCCAGAAATGGATTCATAAAGGGGATGTAATGAATGAATAATTATGAATGAATCTCCTGAGTTTGGTGTCTCAGAATCGAATAGAATATATTTATTGTCTCTTGACATTTGTAATATTTATAAAGAAAAGAGATCAGCACTGATAAATGTAAATGATGTCAAATAATACATGCAAAGTGTGAAAAGATAAAGTTCATTTATGGTCATTTAGCATGGCCACAGCAAGGAGGACATTGTTTATATTTGTTTTAAAACACAGACTATAGAGGCCAGTGGGACATAATTCAAGTATGATTGTATCAGCTGAGAACATGTCACATGGTTGACTGGGCAAACGCAAGAATAATACCATGGGATTACTCGAGCATCACAAGTTAGTTTTAAACTATTACAAATCATGAAAAAGAGGCGCTGTCTACCAAGATGCAAGGATTATGTGTGATTCATCTTGCAGTATAAAACTGTTGATGTTTGGAGCAAAGAAGTGTCTGACTGTGAAGCGTATTTCTCGTTTTGGTTTATATTTAATTGTTAGCCCATTTGTGCCCACATTTTTTTCAGAGTGTTAATGCATATAATGTTATTAGTTGTTTGCGCTTGAATCAGGAAATGTATTTTTTTATTTTATTTATATTTATATTTATTTTGGACCTTGCCTTGAAGAAAATAGCATTTTTAGGGCTGGCAACTATAGTTGCCGGTGGGCACATCAATAGGCAATAGGTCATAATGGATATTATAACTGGATATAATCAACCCAGAAAGGTTGTGATCAGCCAAACTGATTGTGATTAATTTCTCCTTTTTAAAATCTAAAAAAAACAAACAGCTTGAACGGTTCCTTTATTCTAAAATAGAAAACAAATGTTTTCAAAAAGGGACATTTCCCATTGGCAATCCAAAAAAACGGCAAAAAATGGCAATAGCCTACACGTACTTTGGATTTTCTGTTTTCCCAACAGCAAAAAAAAATAGCAAGGACTGATGCCAAGGGTAATTTCAAGAAAGTATACTATAGACATCCATGTTAAATAAATGTATTCTGCCCTATACACAGACTCACGCGGTATGATACTTGAAGCACTCCACATGTAGCGGCACAACAGATTTCTCACAGAACTTGCATCGCTTGTACTTGTACATGTACTTGTACTTGCTACCGCTGTTGCAGGGCCAGTGGTTGAGGTTGTCGAACCTGCTGGCATCAGCCATGCCCACTTCGTCTTACTCCAGGCATGTCCAAATTCAGGCCCCCGGGGCAATTGCCTACTAACACAAAGTCGCCATTGAGGCACTTTGACAGTGTCATCCAACCAACTTCAGCTCCACCTATACAGCCATGCTTTAGTATCTTGTTGTGAATCTCAGACACTCTGGAATCCAGTCGTTGACTCTATTGTTATTTACTGATATCTATTGTTATTTACTGGCATCAACATTCCACATAAAATGCAGCTGTGGTGTGAATCAATAAGAACGTATCATAACTCATTTTAAATTACAGAAACCAGTCATTCAAGCTCGAATCCAAAGTTTTTTAAAGCCAGGTTGTCGGCCGCAGGTCAAGTCTGATGGACTAAAGTGACCTTCTTACTAAAAAGTTTGGACACACGTGTCTTACTCCGTGACGCTGGAGGAGGGTCTGGGCTACAGCTTTATCAAAATCCTACAGACATAGGCTTTGAATTACTGTGAATACTTTATTTAGATGTGAAGAGTAATCAAAGAGGTTTAAAATTAGCCATTGTTCACCATTCTACAATTTAAAATAAGTAACTTATGAGGCACTGTTAGTAGGTATACAAGGCAGTGTTTTCCTTTCCTTTAGTGACATATGTGCCCACCGGCAACTAAAGAAACATGCCCATAACTCAAAAAATATTTATCCCAGGTACAATGTCAAAGGGAGGGTTACTCTAGAGACTTAAATGATCAAATAATGTTTGGGGGGAAAAATTATTCAAAATATATGAAAATGACCTCTTTCTGGGATGGTTTTCCCTCGGAAAGGACACGAAGCTGATGATGTCACATGACAGGAAGCACCAGGAAACACTTTAACACTTTTAACTATTACATTGACTAAGTTGTTTACCAGAATATTAGAGGAAAAATATGCAACCTTTGAATTTTTATTCTGTGAGTAGAAAATGACAATGATAAACTTCGGCAACTATAGTGGGGCCAAATGGCTTGATGGGTCTTGTACAATGTACAATGTACAATGTCTGAAGCTAGGTGGATTCTCTTTCAGTGCTGTGGATTTAAAAATGTTTTGGACAAATCCATTTACTAATATTTAATTTGACTAATTTTTCAATCCAATTAATGTATTTACATGTGAGAGGTATGCTGGGTTATTAAATAAGTGATATGAAAACACAAAAGAATTTGCAGAATAAACCATAACAGGACAGCTTTAAACTGGAAAAACCTGAAAGTAAAACAGCAGGATAGTTCATAGCAGTGACAGCCGCTCATGTCCCATTCACAGACCACATCCACGTTGTGTAATGAGTGTAGTTTTCATGTTAACTTTGAGACGATAAGGTTCATGTGAACTACTCACACTGCTGAGCTGTGGCTACTCTACTTTCATTTTAGTTTTACCATTGGTCATTTGCTTTAGGCTCAGAAATTCAATGTGAAACAGAAAAAACTGGAGCACTGAAATGTTATAAGAAAACAGATAACAGAAAATCTAAATCTGTAAGAAAAGGTAAAATGTAGGAAAACGTGTGAAAGTTTGTGGGATGCCAGGTCGGTGTCTAGAAAGTGCACTGGATTCAGGAGCTCATGATTACACAACAATAAACTTCCCACAGACTGTGATTCGACCGTTGTGGAATTAGACCTAATGTTTCATTTTTAGAAAAACTTTAAAACTGAGTCACCCTTGAGCTCTCTCTTAAAACAACGAAAAACATAAAGAAGAGGCTAAAGAACTAATAAGCTGGCCAGCCAGACTTTCTGATTAAAAGAAGAAACTTACAAATCTTTACAAAGCATTGAAGAAGCAGGCAAAAGAACTTTAGTAGATCACACTGTTACAAGAGAATGTGGCCGTGCACATACGTGTCTCCATCTTCATCCTGCCATGTGGCCAGTGCACTGGGGGAGCACAGGTGTCCAGTGTGTGGGGGGACCGGCCCCATCGGCTCAGGGCTGGGGTACAGGTAGTAATATGGCACTGGACAACAGAAGACACAAGACATCAAATACATCTCCCACACAAGTACTGTTTACAGTGAGATTACGCTTTGTGTTGCACCAGGAGAATTCAGCTTTCAGGCTCGGTCAAGACCACAGTGATGACCAACGATACGACAAACGAACTGCACTAAATGTATTCTGCAACACATTTTAGCTTCTCAACCGCTCAATGTAAGAATAAAGTCCACAGTTTTTTGACCCTCCTGGGCATATTCCAGGAGGGTCAAAAAACCAAAATCAAAAGGGTGATATGGATTTCAAGTGGAAAAACCTGTTAAAATTATACTGTTTAATTTCTGAATAAAAGAAGAAAGTCGGACTGACCAGGCAAAAGAACTGGCCAGCCCGACTACTGTCTACATCAGAGAAAAAAAACAATTGAGGAAAATTACACACGCTTGTTGATAATTCACTGCAAACACAATTTGAAGTGACATGGGTCAAAGTAAAAAAAAACTCAAAGTATGTAACAATAAGTATGATAAGTATCATAAGCTTGACATAAGATGTTGGAAATACAACTCAATTTCTTTTTCATAAATGTTTCTATAAGGTGCTTGCTCACAGATATTATACACATAGATTACATTAATGGAAGAGCTGTCTATTTCTGCCATGAAGCAGCTAAAATGTGTGTAGGTATTTTCTCGTCATCTCTAAAGAAAGCCATCTGAGTAGTTATCCCATTTATATAAGCAGTTTACTCACTTCCTCACATGGAGCACTTTTACAGCATATTTTACACACATGTATTAGACTGAGGCTTATTATGATAAGACTGGATTGAAGTATATGGGAAAGTCACAGTGTACTACACGGACTGAGACAGTAATGTGTGGGCATCCTTCTGACACTATTGGCTTGAATTATAGAAGCTCACCATAAGATGTGAAAGGAGACCAGTGGGGTGCAGTTGGGGCCCCTTCAGTCCCCTCGCCTGGAGTTGTCCTCGGTGAGCTGTCCTCATTTCCAGTAGTCTCCTGCACGAAAGGAATCTTCCGTTTTCTGAAGGGAAGCTTCAGGGGCGCCTTGTCCCCCCGTCTGCTCTCTGCGCTGATGCTGGTCTTCAGCAGAGACACATGCCGGTCCAAACAGACTCTTTCTGGGCCCGAGGCAGAGGCAGCAGCAGCAGCAGGGACAGCAGCAGCAGCAGGTACAGCAGGAGCAGCAGCAGGAGCGGGCGAGTGGCGCGTCCTGCTCGGGTCCGCACGGTCTTTGGCACGGTCCGCCTCGCTGCTCCCACGCGCTCTCGTGCGTAAATCCAGAGGCGCTGCAGCGAGAGGACGCTGCTCACCGCTCATGGTCTCGACCATTGACGTCCACTTTAAACAGATACTACTCGAAGCTGCAAACTCATATGGATGTAGGAGACTTGAGGACAACGCGAACAAATAATGCTTCGGGCTATTGTTAAGTTTTGTATAAATTCATTTGGCTCCAGTAGCTGCAACTCATTGTAACAAGTTTAAGTTATTCATCTCCATGTTGGAAAAGCCAAACGCCAGGATTGGCTTCTGCTCCGTGCGCACCTATATGACACACTGCAGGTAGAACAGCTGCCAGCCCTCATAATAAAAGTCTAATCATGCAGTTACACAGGCGCACGGTGCTTTCCCTTTAAACCGAAAGCTCCTTCATACTGTATATGTTGCCCTGCTGCTCTTCCTTCTTAGGACGGATCTGCTGTGCTCTGACTACACACACTCTCTGACTACACAGATAACATTTGGCACAAGGACACGCACCCTAAAGACATTGCGTAGGATTTTCTTTGTATTTTCACATTTCCAAATCACAAACCCTTTATATTTGATATTCAACTGGCAATTAATATCCGGCCGTGGCGTGCTTACAGTCTATGGGGCTAATAAGTGAAGCATATTATTATTATTATTATTTCGATTTTTACATATGCCTGTCAACCTAAAACGGACGTGTGCAGTGAATCTCTATAGCTATATATCCCTAGTTTTTACTTTCTTTCCTTGTCCTTGTCCAAACCCGTGGTCACTTTGGTACTTTCCTCTTATCTGTGAAGTGATGGACAATAAACTGAAAGTCATTAGAGTCGGAAGTCCCTAAAACGGGCTGGGCAGGTGCAGAGTTCACAGCCCTCACACTCATGCACTGTTTGCAAAATACAGAGCTATTCATTTCTGAAATAGACTTTAGTTTATGAAGCCACAATCACCTGGGTCTGAGCCATGGGTCTGAGTTAGCAGAGAAAAGCCAACGTGAGAAGTAGTGGCGCCATCTAGTGTTAGATTCAACACGGTACAAAGGGCAGGCTTCACCCAGAATGACAGATCCTTATCAAATGAAATAAAGTTCTGACAGTAGTGGACAGAGGTGTGGTCACTGGTCAATGACTCCCAGGTCCATGTGAGAGAGTGGACTGATCACAATGCTCATCAAATATGTGTTTGCAGTTTCAGGACAGAAATTAGCGAGTGACAAAGGGACTAAAATATGAAAATGGTCCCTAGCTACAATCTTGAGTGTTTTGGCACTCTCCTGTTTTTCATAAGCATTGTCCCTTTGTTATAAAAAACAAATGCATATTAATGGAGCAAAGACAATCAGTCACCCTAAATGCAATAGTTTAGTTTGTGTTTATAAATTGTAAAAATATTATGTCTGTGTGTTAATCTGTTTTTGTGTGTGTTTGCGTGCGTATATATGTGTATGTGTGTTTGTGTGTGTGTGTATATATGTGTGTGTATATATATGTGTGCTTGTGTGTACACATATCTCAGCAAGATATATAGTCCTGGGTTCGATTCCTGGTCAGACCAAGGCCTTTCTGAGTGGAGTTTGCATGTTCTCCCCGTGTCTGCGTAGGTTTCCTCCGGATACTCCGGTTTCCCCTACCACTGAAAACAACATCTCTGTGGGGAGTGAGAGGACAAGTGCCCAAAAAAATAACAATTGTAAACCGCTTTGTGACTCTGGTCTGTGAAAGGCGGTATATAAATAAACATTACTTACTTATATACATTATCATTTATTTTGCACAATCTTGAGTGATTCTATCCATGCCAGATGTGACATGTAAATTTCTCCTGTGTGAGATCAATAATTATCTAATCTTATGTGTTTGTGTGTGTGTGTGTGTGTGTGTGTGTGTGTATGTGCGTGCGTGTCTGTGTATGTATATTTGCCTGTGTGTGTGTGTGTGTGCGTGCGTGTCTGCGTATGTACATTTGTGTGTGTGCGTGTTTATTAGAATATTGCTCTTTATTTGCTAAATTCCATGAAACTACAAGGACTCCTTAACCAGTTGTCAGTTTTGAGAAGACAGCTTAGCAGGACCAGAAGAAGAACAGAACAGGCATCTGAAAACAAATGAAAAAAAATAAAATATCATCTCCTCTGTTGACTTTTCAGTTACTTTCACATCTTCTGTTTCATGTCTCCACCCTTTGTCTCAACACCCTCCCACCACAGCCTGTGCCTTTCAGCCTGTTACTGCTGCTGCTGCTGCTGCTGCTGCACACACAGAACAAAACCTACTCTTCTGGCTCCTCAACAGGAAATCAATCGAAAGCAGAGGTGACACAGGACCTAAAAGTATGTGTTTATGCTTACAGTTTGTGTGTGTTTTTTGAAGATTACTTAACTTAGTGCCATTATGTGAACTTTGTTTCATTGATTCTATAGGTGGGTCCAGACTAGGCAGGCAGCACAGATGTGACGCCAAGATGGACGGCTTGAATATGTCTGTATTGCTACAAATATCTAAAAAATGAAAACTTTGTCCCTGCTGAAGAACACCTGTTTTGTTTTTTCCCACCAACCATTTAATTATTTGAGTGATGTTGTGACTTGCCTAATTGGACCACTATGGCTTCTGCAAGTCCAGAACCACCCAAAAACTCAAATACCCAGCTGATGACCAACACAGACAGACGGTTGGTGGAGAAGGCTTTGAAACGATTGGCGAGACTGTTTGAGCTGTGCACTGATCCACGTTTAGGACTGAAAAACAGCCCTCCTTACCTTCCTGACCTGTTGAGCGAGACCACCGCCCTGCTCCTACACGTGTGGGAGCCGTACCAGGACCCCAAGATGACACCCGCTCCAACACCCAGGGGAGACGAGGCCCGGTATCTGCGAATTTACACTAGAAATCTGCTGGATAAGACCGACAAGGCCCTGATGCTGTTCAAAGAGGGGCAGGAGAAGGTTTTTGAAGCGACATCAAGCTGTAGGTAATGCAACATAACACTTTATGACAGCAAAGTTACTTTCACTTTGATCGCACACAGCGGTGGAGGGAATTGAATATGTCTCCAGAAACCTGTTAGATAATGCGCTCAAGCTTGTTTTGAGAGGTGTACAGTAGCAATCACAACGTTTTATCACAAACTGCATGTGGGTCTCAATTGTCAGCCCACATCCTGGCAAATAATCATGGGAGCGCCAGAGTAGTTGCCATAAACATTTTCTTCCAATACACAGCAGAGATAAGCAAGATTTGTTCTCCACGAGGCTCCAATTGTAAGTGAGACTGTGTATTTTTATTTTTTATTTTTTTTACTGCAATTCTACACTGCAGGATAAAGCCACAACGTGTAACTTTTTGTTGATAATCTGCTTTGTTTTTTTATGGAGATACATTACTACTACTAAAACTTTAGATATTTGTGTTCATAAAAAATGAATAATTGTATAACCGGAGTAGCTTCCACAGAAAATAGAACATCCATCACATTTGTCAAGTTAAAAATTTTGGAACTGTGTGAAAAACCGTTTAGGACATCCACAAAATCAATTTTCAATGTGCCGATCCCGTTAGTATTCAGTGTCGAATGAGGACCGAAGAAAGAATAAACGAACTAATAAACTATCCAGACTGAAGGGAACGTGAGAAATCCTGCATTGATCCTGCGGCGGGGACATTTCAGTGTTGCAACGCTCAGTACAAGAGCAATGAGATTATATTAAAACATATTTAAAAAAATAAACAAATTACCGGCAGCATGTAAATACAGATTTTTAGTTAGTTCTTTCCAAATCAAACTAGTCTTAACCAGTTTTTTTTTTTTAGGTTTTCAGGTTTTTTTTTCAAGGTAGCTCTTTTCTAAATCCAGTTTTTGCATTTGCCCGCTTCCCCATTGGTCTTCTTATGTTATCCCATAAGCACATATTGATTTGTAGTTTTCACATGTCACTCAGAGTTTGGTCTGTAGATTGAAAAAAAAGTATCATGTTGAAGTGACTTTTCTGCTGGTTTGTTTGCTTTAGCCTGTGCAGAATAACAACGACAACATCTTTTATCATGCTAATGCCCTGAAATTGGCCAAAAGCTACAACAACAAAACGTGTCTCAGTTTGGACAGAAAGTAGAGAATGTTTGGTCGTAAATGAATATGAAACAAATTAGGTCTAAAGTTCCAACATTCCTGTTTGTCACAAGAAAAGCGCAGAGTGCAGACATCTGCCAAGAGGCGCTGGTCCGTTCTTAAAAAGATCTATCTCGGATCCAGACAGTGTTTTAAGATATCTTGGATCCAGATATTTGGATTACCTCCAAATCCAACCATTTGTTCCTTAACCCATTCCAGAGATGTACAAAGTGTCAATAGAATCTCCTCATAACCTTTCACAGGACGTCGCTAATAAAAAACACACAACAACAAAAAACCTGGTCAACACATAACCTTCGTATCCATGGTAACAATATAATACACTGCAGTTTCCATAAATTACTCTCACTGCGACCTTTTATAGCGTGATGTCTTCCACAAAATACATGTTTGTCCTCACAATGGAACACACACAGACAATTACAATACCCCCAATTGGTCGGGTAATCATGTGTGTCCCAAAGACAATTATTTTAATTCACGGTTACTAATTATGAGACATACACGGATCAATAAAACAAACAGTGACTCGACCGCGGAGAGCTGTTTTATTACTGCTTCTCACACAACCATTACTTCAGCTCCGCAATGCATGTAATACAATTCAACAGAAAGGGAGTGTGGTTGGAGTTTGTTTGTTATTGTCTCACTTCACACACAGCGCTGGTCAGCTACACCAGCCACAGCCGCCCAGGGGCAGACTGACAGAGGCGCAGCTGTCATGAGCCCCTCTGACCAGCACTAATCAAGGGTCAAGGGCTGTAACTAATGAGGATGTTGATAATTGATTCATTTTAGCGATTATACTGTTGAATAATGTAGTTTTGATATTAATAAAATATCAACATGGTAAATACGTGTTCATTAGTTTGAGTTAAAGCTTCGTTCTGTTCCACACATTTGCACAATTCCTGTTTTTTGTGTTTGATTCTGGTGCTGTCTGAGTCTCAAAAGCATCTACTGAAGCATTTACATGAGTTAAATACACGTGCAATGAATATGAAACATTCTAAGTCAAAAGTTCCAAGCGCAGAGTGCAGACATCTGCCAAGAGGCGCTGTTCCTTTCCTTGGAAAAAATGTCTTGGATCCAGACAGTGTTTTGGATTACCTCCAAATCGAAGCAGATATTACAACTGAATTTGTTGTAGATTATTGTCAAAACTGAACTATACATTTCTCCACTGTGAGATGAATAAAGTGTATCTTATCAGTTATGGTTGAGTCATTGACCCACGTTCACTCTGGTCTTCAAGGTTCAAGGATTAAAGTCTGAGACGTGATCAATGATCATAGAGTATTTTTCTGACCTGTGCCTTCATTAATGCATTGTTTGTTTTGACTAATTCATCCTTCTTTGTTCTTCCTTCTCTGGTTGTCCTGTGATAGACTTATTATTAGAACTATACCCGTAAGTAAGTTGGACACTTCTGCTTCACCAGTCAACTGTGAAATCAAAGTGTCACAGCTGTTCAGAGAGCTGAACTTTATTGTTTCTTAAATACATAACGTTTAATGTATGTACAATACACTTTTCTTTTATATCCTAAATCTGTGAGCCCTGCAGTTTATACTGATTGACTCAGCATTTGAGGGTAAAAAGTAGAATTTTAGGCCCAAAAACCCTGCATGTAAGAATATAGGGATCTAACTTGTTCCACCCAGTTCCACCATTTACGATAAGATATTTACATGTCACATCTGGCTGTTTGAAATCAGGCTTTTCTAAAACAAGAAACTTGATTCAATCAAATAACTATTATTTTATTGATAACAAAATCAATTGGGCCATCCATAAATGATCTAAAACAGGATTAGAAATGTCTTGTTTGAGGATATAATGAGAATCATAACAAAAATCCCTCGAAGAGCATATTGTGTTCTTACATTATTCTGTGGTCTGTGTGACGCCTGTGGCAAGGCAAGATTATTTATATAGCAACATTTATACACAAGGCAATTTAAAGTGCTGAACAAAATAAGAAAGCATTAAAATCATAAATAATTACAGAACATTAAAAAGAAAGATAAAAATATAAAATCCCTCAGTTGTATGCACAGCTAAACAGAACTGTCTTTAACCTGGTTTTAAACATTGTCAGAGAGGAGGCCTGTCTCACATCTTCAGGATGTGACAACATTCTGAAACTCTCAACTTTCACATTTTGCATAACAAAACAATAAATCATTTTTGAAGATATATTGCCCACTTTTGTCACACTAATTACCCCTCAGCAATAAAAGTCAATCATGAAATAATAGTAGTTTAGTGACACTAAAAGCTTTGAGAGTTCTGCTGGAACCTTTTGTGTTGGTTAAAATCTGCAGCGCTCAGCATCCTGTTTGTGAGCTGGACCACTGCAGACGCGTGTGTGCGTGGGTGTGCGAGTGTAGCTGGAAAATATCTCATTGAATGTTGTAACAATTTGGTTGTGTTGCCTATTGTCTCGATAGCACCAGCTGTACTGCAAATATACAGTTCATTTTGGCTTAATCTCTTGCAAAAGTTGCAGCAACAAAGATTCTGTTTCTGTATCATGCAATTTCAAGTTTAGAGTTTGCCAAAGGCCTGTCTCCATGTTTGTAAACTAGACATGAATGTGTCTTTCTGGAAATTTATTTTTAACTATCACTAAATATGTTGACCATATGCCACACTAAGAACTGTAAGTAATCCTTTCAAAACCTGTACAGCACATTTCTACAGAACAAAATAACATAATAAGAGTTTCTAAAAGAGGGTCAAGAAATCTGTATTTGCACATTTAAAAACTACCTCAGTTGACTTAAGGGCTGAACACACAGTGTAGGCAAACAAAACACTTCCCACTCCCTTCACCCGTTCTCATATAAAAACCAGACAGTTTGGAACAAACAATATAAATAAACATTTCTTACTTACTTTCTTACAAAAACATCAGAACAATACACTGCAATACAGTAGAACACATACACAGGACACAGGAAAAGACACAGGCCCAAACGCTCTCTGACCCTATAGCATTCCTGTCCCAAACAAGAAGCCCCACCATCAGCGTTGCCAAAAGCAGAACTCTAATGCAGAAAATTTAAAATGTATAAATTCTGCATACATTTATTCTAAAATGATCATAATTTCATTTTTTATAAGTTTACAATAGTTTAATTTTTGTAAACTTATCAAGTTTAAAAAAAGATTCTCAAATGACAATAATTGACAACTCCCCCTTCTCAAAAGCGTGTCATTTACATCGATTCTCTCACATCTGTGACAACTTGGAGCCTTCTGTTGTGGTTGTGGATACGGTTATTTAGAAAGCGTCCCATTCTTCTTGGCAAAAAGCTTAAATTCCTGGACCACCTTGCACTAACTGTACATTTGATGAGAACAGCTGAGTCGTTCACGTGCCATTCTCCTGTTATGATAATCCACTGGTCCCTTTACGTGCTGTATCATTTATTGCTACATCTAATGCATAATCCATTCATCTGATAAATCTGTTATGATAATTCACATCAAGTCACTTCATCTGCTGCTCTATTACTATTGTGTACAAAATAAACGGCTAAATATGAACTTCTAAAGTACAATATAAACGTCTGTAAATACATCATGATGCTACCTTCAGTGTAGATGTTGATGGGCACAAAATGGGAGGTGGGTTTAGACAAGGTTTTATGATTTTATAATTTTATGCATGTTGTGGGTGTGTGTTTTTAATATTCTTTAACTTGCACCGAAGCACCCCGGCTCCCCACGCGACAGAAGACCATTAGAACACCTGTGTCGATGGGGAGGGGGACGAGAAGGACAGGGGGAGGCAAAAGCCGTGGCCACGAGAATGGGAACAGGAACAAAACAGCTCCCTCGTTTGAATGTTTTAAGGCTCGTCTTAAAACGCATTTTTAGTCTCTGGCTTTTAATATCATATCAAAATTTCCCCATTGTGGGACGAATAAAGGTTTATCTTATCTTATTCAGATCAGCTCAATTATGTTATCATTTAAAAGCAAAAAAAAGTATATGTTTATTTATATATGGCTTTACACAACAACAAAAAAGCAACAACACATATTGTTATTGCAGAAACAAGCTTTGCGGATCATTCACAAAACAAACTATTTGCATCACACTCACAAACTTTTTCTTAAATCAAAAATACTAAAATACTCACACCTTGTACAATTCTACACAGCCATCATGTTATTCAAAGAATTTCACAAATTGTTACCTTACAACATACGAAGATATTTTTTGCTTAAAGAAAAAAACTATAATCTAAGAGGTCTGGGAATTTTTAAACTTCCCAAATTTTGATCTAGTCGTAAAAGTTTCTGTGTGACTGTACGTGGTGTGAAACTGTGGAATGCTTTGGATCCTCAATTAATGCAATGTCAAGATATTCATAGATTTAAGTCATTATATAAAAACAATGTCTGGTCCGAACACAGAGAGATCATGACTTGAATGTATTTCCATGTAGCTTTTCCATCGACATTTTGCCCACTCCCTTTCGAGCATCCATAAGTGTTATGTTAGTATCATTTACAACAACAAAAAATACAACAAAATAATTCATAATATTTGACCCAAACATTTGAACACAGAGACATGGGCGGTAAGTGAATTGGGTGAAATGAAAGAAGGATAGACATTTGAACCTCTATATCAAAAGAATCATTTTAAATTGACTGTAAAATTGTCTTGTATCTTCTGTTCTAGGAAAAACTTGACGAAGCTTTCCCTGCTCTTTAGTCACATGTTGTGGGAAATCAAGGCGCTGTTTCCTGGAGGGACTTTCCACGGAGACGCCTACAGTGTGACCAAGACCGAGGCCCAAGAGTTCTGGAGGCGCTCGTTCAGGCACAAGTCAGTGGTGTGGAGGCATGAGCTTGAGCTGATGAGGGTTTCATAAGGAACTATTATTTATTAGAATACGGGCTCTGTCGCCATGGCAAATATACATGTACCGGCCACCCAGGGAGTAAGGTCAAAACATTCGTGTTCAGCTCTACAAAAGTACTTTCTTTCCATTTCTCTGTCCCTTCTGTGGCAGAGATCTAAAATAATGATGACAATAATACATAGGTTTTCCAAGCACTTTTTGGACATGCAAAAATGGGGCACTCAACCTTTTCGTTTTTTTAATTATTATTTTTTATGAACAAATCCAGCAAATCCACTTTTTGAACAATAGTCTCTGGTCTTATTTGACGAGCACAAATCACCAGAACGATTGACAATTGGAAGGACCAATGTCTTAATGATCCACCCGGAAGTAGAAAATCCTCCTATATACCTTTAATAAAACACTACAGCTGATTGGCAGAGTGAGGGTGGTCTTCTCTTTTTCACTTTTTCTGTCTGAAATAGCAAAAAATGTAAGATGTGACAGATGCCAAATATACACGTAGTTATTAATATTTTTTAAACGCTATTCTGATTATGAAACTTTAAAAAGCGTCCATATTCTTGGGGATGGGGACAATGCCTCTATGACTTACGATATTGATAAGTCGTCAACCTGAACAATCGTTTCCATAGTAACGCCTCTGAAAACCTCTCGTCGCAGGTGTTTAGTGCATTGGAAGAGTTTTAAAGAGAAGCTGCAAAGTGTTCATGCGTTTGAGGAGGGGATGGAGGCGATGGCTTTGAAGTCCACCATTGACCTGACGTGTAATGACCACATATCCGTGTTCGAGTTTGACATTTTCACCAGGTTATTTCAGGTACGTGACCTTTACAGACTCTGTGTCGGACTGTTCCAAAAGTCATGTTCCACTGATGCACGGCTGCTTTCTCATCCACCACCTGCGCTTTCCACTGTACTGTACAAGAGGTCTGTGTACTTTAGGCCACTATATGTTTAAGTTATCTGTTGGACTGGATTTCAATTAGTTCTAGTAAAAATTCTTAATCATAACACACACACACACACACACACACACACATATGCACACAAGGGCTGCGCGACATGGAGAAAAAATATATCTCTATATATTTGTTAAATATCTCGACATACACACACACACATACTGTACACACACGCATACACACACGTACACACGCAGGCACACACACACACACACACACCCACACTCACTTATACACACAAACATGGATCCAATATTGTCTTTGAATATCATTTTTACTTTCATGCAAATTAATGGTTCACGGTTGTATTTTGTGTAACTTTTGGGTACATAATGACATAATATAATAAATATTATATTCTCTAAACTAAACTTTTTTTTCTTTTATCCAATCCAAAATGAATCCAAATTGAATTATAGACAGTATATATATGGACAATGTGAAGAATTATCACATAACAGTGTCACATGTAGACATGCAGTACACATTTCTGACCTTCACAACAGTAAAAAAGCAAAAAAAGGAAAATAATACAATTAATATTAACAGCAATAATGAATTATTAAAAACATAAATGGACATTTATTAATATTGATGGACATTGGTCATGTGCCCCTTATGGACCAATGACTCTTTATGTGTTTGATCTTTTTGAGTCTCTGATTTTTGTTGGCGATTCGACAATCAAAATGGAATGGAATAGAAAAAATCATCCATTTAGGATTCAGCTGAAATAGAAGAACTACTCTCAACAGTTCATTTAAAAGACCTTGCATTGACTCGTTGTCCTCTTTCAGCCCTGGAAGTCTCTCTTGAGAAACTGGAACTGTTTAGCGGTGACCCATCCCGGCTACATGGCCTTCCTCACCTATGACCAGGTGGTGCGCCGCCTGCAGCACTACCTCCACCGCCCCGGGAGGTGAGCTCGGCCCCACTGCACTCCACACTCCATAAATCAAAATGACAAGTGTTTTTTCCAAATGCTGCATCTCTGGAGCGTCTCCAAAAGTCATTCTGAGGTTAAGTGACATTGATCTTTCGAAAGGCAAATGAGATCCACAGAGATACAAGCGTCTGCAGTATTATTCAGCAATTTAACATTCATTAGAGGCTTCAAATTATCTACGTGAGAAGTCGGTCTGTTGGGTGCATTTATGAATGAAAATGCTCATTCGGCCTCATGTGACACATCTTAGAAAATCATTAGCCTTCTTCTCCAACCAACCGAGATATAACAAATATCTCGTCTTGGTGGTGCAGTGGTTAGTGTTTGTGCACCACAGCAAAAAAGTCCTGGGTTCGATTTCACATCTAGGCCGTTCTGGAGTTTGCATATTCTCCCTGTGTCTGCATAGATTTGCTGCGGGAGCTCCGGTTTCCCCTACCACCATTAATATGCACAATAGGGCTGGCATGCTTCTTCCGTATGGCGGCCACAGCTATATGAATAATATAGCTGTATATGGTATAATTACTGTATATGGTGCAATACAAAGTTACAGTACAGTAATGACAAAAACTATTGTCCTTTTTCCATCATCAAATTGTCTGTATTTGCGTGAGATCTTTGTCAAATAATCATGTGTTTAACCTTGTGATCTTGCAGCTACATCTTCAGACTGAGCTGCACTCAAATGGGACAGTGGGCCATAGGTCATGTGACCGCAGAGGGTGAAGTCATCCAGACCATCCCCCAGAACACACCTCTGTACTGGGCTCTGATCCAGGGCTTCAAGGAGGGCTGGTGAGAGCCACTGACTGCAAGATAATCAGTTACTTCAACATAAACTCTATTGTCTTAAAGCTTGGGGTACGCAACTTTCAAACCACAAAACATGGACCTCATAAAATCAAAATAGGATAAGATTAGAGAACCTTTGTTTGTCCCACGGTGTTCCAATGTTGCAGCGCACATACAGGACAGTAGTAAGAGCACACAGGGAACAGAGAAATTATACAATATAAGCAGCTGCTATGTTAATTAGCTAACTGTAAATGTATTGAAATTGCAGTATTGCGCATTGTGCGTGATTGCGGTATTACATATTGATAAGTAAGCTGATTCCTCAATCTCAAAACGGTTTGGTTCTAACACTAGTTTTCACATGCATGTATTTTTAGATCAGCTTTTTCACACTGGAAAGGGGAAAACAGAAGGTCACGCTTGACCAATCAGCTCTCAGCCCGTTATACTCACAGGAATCGCGTATGCAACATCAAGCACGTTTAGATTTGTCTTGTTGAAAGTAGGTACCCCAGCTTTAATCACAATAGACTGAGTATTTTGCTGTAAGCATAATAATTTTGTATAAAGATAAGACTTTTAGCTACCTTTGTTTAATGCTTTGAACTATTGCAAATGGTGGATGTGTTGTGTAGTACATTTTATGTGAAAAGAGCTTTAAAATGAGCCACCTCCATCAGATCACCTCCTGTACTGTGCTGTATTGTTGATAGTTTTAATAACTGCAAATGTCAAATTACTTTCTCTACCACATTAAATCCAAGATGTTACACTTTTACTGTTACTCTGGTAAAAGAATCATAATCATCCACTTATGAAACACTATATATCTTACACAGGTTTCACCTATGCATCTAGTATATATTTTTGTGTTTGTGTATATAATATTTCTTAATCAGCCTAATATTAGTTTTTGAGGTCCCAATGTTGCCATTATTTTAGTTTGATTTCTATTTTTTTTTTCAGCTATTTGTACCCAGACGGCCGCGACATGAACCCAGATCTCACCAGTCTGTGTGAATCATCCCAAAAGGGACAAGTCAAAGTCACTGAAGTAACTCATTTCATTGTACACCTTCAACACAAACTGTGGCTCTGGTTGTGTTCGCGTTGTAGAATTCTATTTCAGTTGGAGGCAGGTGTCAGTACAACTCTATGGGAAAGAAGCAATTGGGACGGAAATGTTGAAAAAAGAAATGTCCCAGATCATTATAAGATAGTGATTAGATTCATAGCTGCCATATCATTCTTATATCAGAAGTTCATTCAATATTAGGATTAGGAAAACCTTTAGCTGTCTTGCAGGGGGGAAAGTGCAGTGTTACAGAACAGTAGGAATGAAGAGAACACAACATAAGATAAGATAAGTGATTAAATTAGTATATTATAGCTGCATACTTTAGAAAATGACATTACATAAATATTGTCAGCACTTCTAGACAATTTTGTTGAGATTTATTCTTGCGGATTGGCCCAGAAAAGGTTTTCAGTTACCCTCCACCACAATGTAAAACTACAGGCTATTTGGCATGTTGTGATGTCACATGAACACGACCTAGAGGCGTTTTAATGGTCCTCTTCCCTTGACAGGAGGAGTACGAGTTGTATTGTGAGATCGGCAGCACGTTCCAGCTGTGTAAGATCTGTGCGGAGCGAGATAAGGACACCAGGATCAAGCCCTGTGGTCATCTTCTGTGCCACACGTGTCTGTCGGGCTGGCAGGTGAGCCCCCTCCTTCACCTCCATTTGCCATGGTCAAATGAAAAAAGGAACTCAAAGGCAGGACTGAAAATATAGTCAGTAAATAATGAATAAGTGTAATTTATTTTTTTCAAAAAAATGAAAAAACAAGTGTTGTATCTTCTCATCAGCAGAAGATGGGGTTTCCCGCACAAACCAGTATAGTGTTGGAGAAGGAATGCACTCTGAGTTATGTATTAAAGAAAGAGTTTTATGACATAATCAGAATACATCAAGTCCAATTCAGGCTTAGTGCTTTCAGCCTGGGTCAGCTCCGAGAATGAGGATGGCATGACTGACCCCTAACACAGAGAGGACTTGCATCTTATAGATTGTTGAAGAAGTCATAAGACACAGTCACAAGATTCTAGTAAAAGCAAACCATACATTAAGGACAGCCATGTACATTGTCCTAACATTAGTGCTGCTCACATGTCTGCCTCATGACTGAGAAAAGGATCATTAGAGTCAGCTGCTTCTACCATTTTGACCCAAATGTTCCCAACACATTTTGAAGATACATGCTTTATACGTAGAAGTTATAATAGCAGACACCACACAAGGTATGAAAAACAAAATACCAACATTGAAAGCAAGCTAGGACCAAACCAGTGGGGGCGGGTCCCGGCTCAAGAAGGTCCATGAGCATGTACGCTGACATGCTTGCAGTCCCCGGTGGGGGTGTACCCGGAAAGAGAATTACCCAATGCTTTTCTATGGCCGTTTCTTTCCTCCAGATGTGTGTCAATACTGACTGACGGGAGTATTTATTTTTTTTGATCACTCTAGATCAGCCGTTGTGGACTTTTGAATGTACTCATTAAATACATGGGCCTTGCGTTTTTCACATATTCCTGTGGGAGGGGCTGCCCGCAGCCATTTTGAAAATGCCCACAGAAATCCAAAGTGGTGGCACGTTAGTTTCAACGACGGAGATAAGCGTGACTGTATTTGTTAATAAATACAGTCTATGGACCAAACGTGGCAGAGAAAATGAACGGACAAGTGGAGAAAAGCACAGGGTATAAATACACACAGAGAGACACAGGTGTTTACATTGGGGCAGCCAATCAACTGAACAGACAAAGAACCCAGCTCAAAAGAACCATTATCAAAATAAAACCCAGTAAAATTCATCAAAAACTCCACACCAAGAAACCACTACCTCCATCACTTCCATCACCTCCACCTAAATGTGGCTTGTAAAGGCGAAGGGTATTTAGTGAAAGTATTAGAAAAATAGGCTCTAATGAGTGTGCATGAAAGGAACAAAAAGTCTTCTCAAAGAAAAAGTTTCATAGTCAAAGTTCTTCAAGGTCTGTTCCCAAAAACCTGGCCAACAAAGCACTGTTGTTTTATTGATCGCTGGTGGCGTAGATTGGACCAAGCAGCAATCCCATTGGCCAGTCGGGAGGGCTCTTCACGAATAGCAGGAGGCGGGACTGAACACAGATACACACACAGACAGAAGGAGACACACACAGCGAGGGAGGGATGTGTTGGTGCGCAGTGGCTCAGACCAGGAGCTGTAACACTCTGTCTCCTCCGTCTCCTCCATCAGCTCCTTCGTCACATCATCAGCATCACACAAACATTGGCATTTAAAGGACGGCTCATGATTGCGGAAACTGCATGTAGTCACTCGAGCGTCAAACATTTGTTACTCTAAAAGGCCACAGCTGCCACCGCCTGATTATTGGATGCCAGTGTGTGGACGTACAGCGCTGGGCCAAGTGTGAAGGGGATTTTCACATTTTAAATTGAGCACAACCATTTTTCAGTAAACTAATGGGTGTGAGAAATAGATCCAAATTAATTCTGCTTGTGACTACTTTTAAAAGTGTAATTTGTGGAAAGAAATGATCAAACATCAGCCTGCCCTTTAGATAGATATAGCTCATAAACTGAAACTTGAACTATTTTATCCTACAATAAAAAAAACATTGGTTTTATGGAGCGTTTTTGGACACTGAAAGATGCTTCATATGAGATTACTCTTTTGCTTCATTCACAAGCTATCACTGCAGCTAAAGCTGACCTGGGGCACACTGACAGAAGCGAGGCAACCAGTTCTAGTCAATGTGGGTGAAGTGTCTTGCCTAAGGACACAACAATAGTTTGGCACTTTACAGCTGCGGCCACCCCACTGTGGCACCTGCTGTTCCCAGAGGTCTCCCATCACAGCACTACCAAGGCCCTTTACTGTTTAGCTTCAAAGGTCTGACAGAATTTGGCTTTCACAGTGTCTAAACATTCCAGAAGCAAATATAAATACCAGTGGATAATAATGCATTCTCTTTTGTCCAGGTTGAATACATTTAAGGACAACTCATGTTCAGAGATAGATATAGAATAGTATATGGAGAATGTGAATATGAAAACTTGAACACATTGGGATTTTTTGCTTCCCCTTTTATATGTAGATGTGGTTACTGGTACGGGAAGCTGATGTGTCTAAGCAGATGAAGACTTATATTACATGATGTGATTTGTATATGGCAGATTAGTATATGGCACATTAGTATATGGTGAATTCGTATATGGCGAATACAGTACAACAGAAAGCTCAAATACTAATAATGTTAGATTCATTATTATCATGTATGGCCTGATTCTTCTTCATTGAATGTGTACGATTATGCTCCATTTTCTAGATTTTAGTTAGTCATGGTTCTTGTGTTGAATATTCTGTGCTGAGTCCTGGATCTATAGCTTTTATCACTTTTTTCTCCCTGGGTTTTCGGAACATTGGACATACCGCTCCCTCCGGACCAATGGCTCCTGTGTGTTTGTCATTATTGCATTTCCTGTCTTCGAACTGGATGATTCTCTGATCTGTTGTTGGTGAATCAACAACCAAATCCGAGACGACCGATGTTGGAACTTAATTTAATATCATCACGATATAAAAGGATCTTAAAAAGGCGACAAAACTGTGATATCAACTCAATTCTGTTATGTTTATTTTCAGACAAAAATCAATACACTTTATTATTTTCTACGATTTTTAGTGCTTTGCAAAATGTAAAATGTATGAACCTGCACTAAAGCTGTCACTAAGTCCATGTTGGTCCTCAGCAGAAGTCAGCAGGCCACAGCTGCCCCTACTGTCGCTGTGACATCAGAGGCACAGAGGCGGTGCTGGTGGAGCCCTTCTCTCCGGACTCACACTCACAGCAGGAGGAGCCCGAGGAGGAGGACCACGAGGACATCCAAGTGATGGTCAGAGAGATGGCTGCTCTAAAGGTACTTTTTATGTACAGTACGTCATGATTGTTTGTTCAAACTGTTCAAATTCCCTAAGATCTACACATGGTTCTGATCCCGTCTCAAACTCCTGGGGTAACAGCATGGATCTACAACAATAACAGTTTTAACAGTTTTAGGAACAGAGGCATATCATACATTGTTGAAGATCAGATTTATTGTCTTTTATTTCGTTATTTTTTCATATGAAGATATCAGATCATGAAAATGTATGAAATATTCCACTTCAATTCAAATTGGAAGATCAAGGCTCCTGTGGACGCACCACCTGCAGGAGGATCAGTGAGAGGCTGGTGCTAAGTGTACTGGGTGCAGCTCTGACTGCCACCCCCCCCTATCCAGAAATCGATTAAGGGGAAGAAAATAGATGGATTGATGGAGGGATGGAATTTAAATTCAAATAATATCCGTGAGGAACTTCATGTGCAGACAGAGCACCAATTTGGGATAAATAAAAACACACAAAAAAATACAATAAAAGAGCAGAAATGCAGTATAAAATCGATCACCATCTGCTTCAGCCAAAACAGACCATCTCCCATCTCCAGACCAATAGAATAAAGGGGATATAGATGGTATACAATAAAATCTAGAATTAACCACAGTTCTTGCACCATTCTTTGTTAAATAGATTTAGTTTTGATATAAGTATGTATTGTTTTTCATTGTGAACCAACCTTACTTAAAAAACAATACACAATTAAAGCCTGTGCGAACAATACACATTCTCTGTAAGTGAATTGATCGCCTCTGTATTGACTACAGTATGTTTAGGTGCTATTTAGAAATCACAAAAAAATCTCATTATCTGAACCGGTGAAAGTGTTGTCATTGTTGTCGTCAGTGTGGCAGTTTGGAGTACCAGACGCCCTCCTCTCGCCCCGTCCCAGTCCCTCCTCTGCCCAGTAAATGTAGAAAGGCGTCCCAGGACCACACTATCTCTGCAGACTCCAACCACCGCTCCCTTCACTCCACAAGCTCCGTGGAGATCACCGAGGTAAAAACACACAATATCACTAATAATCTTTTTTAGGCAAGAGAAGGGACGGTTATTTGTGTAGCACAGTTCATTCTCAAGGAAACTCTCCTCTGTTTATTGTGCATCATTTCTTGCTCTAACATATATTTTTCTTTGCACCAATCAGACCCTGAGCAACAACGAAGCAGCCGAAACTCAGACCAGAAGGTTGTCTGGGATTTCTTTCTTTCTTTGAGTTATTGTGTTATGCACCGTATTGTCCTTCATTACATTTAGGATTTATTGGACTGGATTTTCAATAAGAGAAACAGATGGAGACAAACTTTATTCACGACTTGTGTAAGCGTCTTAAGTTTCCATCTGTTCTCAAAAGTTATTGCATCATGTCCTTTGGGGTCACGCATAATTTATATTTTTTACGGTTTTCAAAAACATAATATCTTTTAGTGTAAAATGGCACATAGAGAGTTTATAATTGTCTGTTTGTTTTTTTCTTTTTTAGGTTTTTGGTTTCATTTAAAGGGAAACAAATTCAAGAAAATGTTGCAAAACAGGAGAAAGACACAGAAAATTTGGAGGATGATAATAAAGAAGTATGAAAATAAATAAATAAATAAACAACAAATATAATAAATAAATAAATAAATAAATAAATAAATAAATAAATAAATAAATAAATAAATAAATAATAATAATAATAATAATAATAATAATAAATGTAAGATTATTGTCTTCTTATCTCCATTTATTATACAGTAGACTAAAACCCAGGTCTCCAACATTCTAAGTGGATGACTTTTTGATTATCCTTTTCAACTATTATTGGGGGAAAATCATTCATTTATATTGAGGGAACGTGATTGTAATTTACGGGCAAAACCACTTCTCTTTTACGGTTCAAGTTTTATGTTTTATTTGCCCTTTAATTTACTATAGAGTGAATGTTTTGTTTGGTTGATTGTAGGCCCCAAAGTGGTGACTCTAGTTCCCTGAAGGAGAAAAGTTCCAGTGGTCTGAAAGTGCAGCGAGAACGTACTTTCTCCAGCAGGTGATGTGTTGAAGATAATTCATGCTAAAATTAATAACAAATGTGAAAATGTGAAGTTCTCATCTACATGTGTACAATGTTTTACAGTGCAGAATGTCTGACAGTTAGTCCACCCTCCTCCACAAAAACAGAATGTGAGTTAAATTTTAATATAAACTTTTCCCACGCACATATATAACACTATTTGCATATAATTTATTTATGCTTTTGAATTATTGTTTTATTTTTTTGTCTGTGCGTCTTATAAGCAATAGAACCACAACTGGACTTGCTTAGAGCCTTCTGATCGTTTTGATTGGATTTTAATTTGTTATATGTAATCAAATAACAAAGGTGTACATATGAATATATATCAGACACAAAAAACAGAGTTTCAACAATTATTTTAAAATACAGGCAGGCAAAAGGAATAAAATTTAGTGAAAGAATTCTGGCCACTATTAGTTTTCATTAAAGCACTTCCAGTAAAAAAGAATGATTAATCTTTAAACCCATGCAAAATAAGAATTCAAACAATCATAATGTTGGTCGACCAAGATGCCATCAACCGATTTATTAAATTATGGATAAAACATTTTAACGGTGCGATTTTTAAAGTGCGACAATGCCGTTGTGTCCGTCGGCAAGACACTTCACCCACACATAAGTCTGGTGTGTGTGAATGAATTATGCCTCGTGAAGTTCTTCAGGTCCACTATATGAAAATAAACCTCGGAAAATTAGAATATTGTTTGGTTTTTTTGTCATTCAACTTAAAATGAAACCAAAATTCTTCACATTTCAGAGCTGTAAGTATCATACATCACCATTATTATTGTTATACACACATGTTCTATTTATTGGATTCATTTGACTCATTTGAAGGGGGTTAAACTGTGGAACTCTCTCCCCACTGGACTAAAACTACAAGACTACAGTGCTCTCTGGTCCGTCCAATGTTATTGTAATGTCCACATCAAATAAATAAATACATACTGTACATACATACATACATATGTATAATTAAATAAATACATGCATAAACAGATATATAATTAAATAAATACATACATAGCAATATCTAATTAAAATAGATACATGAATATATGAGCAAGCAATATTTCTTAATTTATAAGTATTTCTGTTGTAGGCGCAGCAGCGTGGCTCGGACCGTCCAGCCCAGTGAAGAACAGGCGACAGGTGGAGGGAGAGCTGAGGGGAGCTGTGCTGAAGAAGGACCAGGGTTCAGTGGCAGAAGTGACCAGAACCATGTCCTCCTGACCTCTGACCCCACCATCATCAGCTCACAAGAACTTTAATCTCAGCTGCAATCATGTGATCACCGGCAGAGACCACCGACTGTTCCATGACCAACTTTTCTAATTTTAGACCGGTTTATTTAACGCATTTGTCTTCAGGAGGCTTCATTAGTGCAGTGGCTATGACCAGGAGGATTATGATGATGAGAGACTTCTACAGGCTCCGCTGCAATAAACTGCATGAAGGAACTGATAAATAGAGGAGCTAAATAACACTTAACTTCACTGTCTGCGCTGGTAAATCCTCCAGCGGCTCACTATTCAGATGTGCAAACTAAACCCACAACCTGCCACACAATAAAGTAACAAATACATCATGAGTTCATTAAGTCCTTGTTTCCAGTGTGTGTTGTCAGTTTAAATTCCATGTATTGAATAAACTACATGTGAAAATATTCAAATGTTTGTCTTATTTTATTATTTTAGACAGAAATGGAAAGATGTGCTTTTACTCGTCACCAGTGTTAGGTCTTTAGATAAGTACTTTTTATCTTATACAGTGAGTTTTACTTTTTTACTCAATTATATATTTTTCCTTCATAAATCCAAATGATGCTATTTCAGCTATTTCAGCTTCTATTACAAACCCTTATGAGGTTTGTGTATTTGAAATGATATTTTATGTATCCATCTTCCTAATGGTCCCTGGACAACAAGTGCAAACGTTGCAAAAATGCGAGGCCATTACTGATGAGAATGTTGATGCTGATGCAGTGTAGCTCTGGGATAGACCTGCTCCTCTTGGCAGAGGTCTGCGCTCTCTGAGTGCTTTTTATTTTACAAATAAATGGACATGATGGACATTAGATAAACCAAGACACAGAATGAGTATCACGTGATTAACTCATTTGAGTTGCCAGTTTCTTTGGAAAGATTCAGGTTTGGTCACTGCCTAAACTTGGCACCCACAGATGGTCACAGGACTTTTACTGAGAGTGGGAACGATTTTTAGAGGCAGCGTAATTATTAAAGAATTATATTTAGTAATTTATTTGCCTAATAAATATGATATTAAATCAAACATGCAACATCCCAGTAAAGTATTATGATCTGGATGCTGTTTGTTACTGAGTGTTTTTATAGTGGGAGGTTGGTTGCATTGTGCTCATCAAGGGTAAAGACGCTAGTTCTGCTTAATTATTTGACATGTTTCGAAACACCACCGAAAGATCATTTTAAGATAATATTAAGATCATATTCGTAGAAATGTTGCAAAACAAGCAGAAACTGAATACTGTTCCAAAAACAAGATGAAGGCCAATTACATAAAGTGATTTTATTCATGGTCCCTTGTGTCTAAGAGTAGGCCTGCAGTGTCTCCTCGATCCAGGGCTGGAGCTCGCACACTTTGACGTAGACTCCTGGATAGTTTGGCAGAGCGCAGCCCTGCCCCCACGACACCAGACCGTGCACCTCCTCGTAACACACCAGAGGGCTGCCCGAGTCGCCCTGAACACACACACACACAAACACACGCTTTATTGTATCCAAAGAGAACTATAAACTCTTTAAAAGATATTCTAATTTGCCTATTTATCACGTTTCCATATACTTATTATGTTTGATTTAAATAAGCATCAATTTGACACATACAAACCACATAACATCCATAATAAAAACTATAGTGGTAGAAATATATTTATACTTGATGCTGAAATAGAATAGGAGGATGTTGTAAAAATGCATATTAATCAATCTGTCTTGTATATATTTGCATATTTTTACAGCAATTAAATTACCACAATTCAACCAATTCTACTAAAGATAATTATTCATACATTCATTCATTCTTTACTAGTCCATTTCTAGGTTTTGGGGTTTGGCAATCTGAGCTGCCACCCACTTGTAATGCATAGTGCAAGAACAAAGAGAAGGTGGTGCAGTCAAAAATAAGATAAATAACAAATTGATTGGGTTTTATCAATAGATGAAGACTTACATTGCATGCATCCCGGCCTCCATCTAAGTAGCCAGCACACAACATCCTCCTGGAGATCATCCCTGGATAGGCCTTCTCACACTGGGCGTCGCTCAGGACCGGGACGTCCAGGCACTGCAGGCGTGTGGGTAAGGCGGCTGCAACAGAGCCTCAAACTGTCATTGACCCACTTTCAAGCAGTCGAGCGGTGAAGTACGGCGTTCTAAGCAGCCTGTGGTTAACGCTGAGCACGATAAGAATCACCACAGTGTGCGCCGTGTCTGAGTGGGGCAAGCGAAACATGTAGGTTACGGAAATAATGAAGGTGCAAGTACTTAAGTCTATTCTATATTATTTGTTTTTGTGGAAGTACACTGCAAAAATATATATAAAATATGAAGTAGTAATGACATGTTTTAGTCTTAATTTGAGTACATTCTCGATTTTCTCATTCCAAGGGACACATTCACTGTATCTTTTTAAAACAAGATGATTTTGCTTTGTGCCATTAAGAAATCTTGTTTTGATGCAGTCAAAATGTGCTTCAATTGAGATACATTTTGCCAAATTTGAGCAATTTTGGACTTGTTTTTCACTCTTTGCAGTGTTGTTTTTGGTCTGTGGAAAAAATAAGACCACAATATGCTTTCTTTGTTGTGTCAGAAATCTTATCTTTTGCATAGTTGTACGAAAGAGGTCACTATTTGACATTTTCAGGGGTGTTTCTTTGGCTTTTCCTTCACATGAAGCTGGTCTAAAAAAGTGACAAAACCCGAAAATAAATGCATGTGAAAAGTAGAGACAGAACCAAACTCTAGTGAAAATTAGCAAATAGTATAAGAGAGAGTTGCATTTGTGTGGTTTGAAAGGTACAGTATGTATTCAGCTTTAAGTCTCCAAATTTAACCCTGTAAATGAGGTTATGCCAAAAGAACTATGACTTTTTATTGTAATGAATGAACTCACATATGTGCCAAAGAAACAAATATGCTACTTTGCCAAATTTGATTGAATATCTGTCTTCCAAAAATAGTTCTAGCTATTTTCTTCCACAAATATTTCTACAGGGCTAATTAGAAAGCACTTTTGAACATGTAAATAGAGCCCTCTTTATATGTCTGTAGTCTTCTGTTGTCCCGTGCTCACCTCCGTCCTCAGTCGAAGTCTTGCCCCAGCCCGACACAGAGCAGAGCAGGCCCTCGAAGGGGCACCCTGTGGGCAGAGAGATGGGGGCGACTGCCTTCGTGACCTTCACCGGGTGAAAGAGTTTGATCAGCATGATGTCATAGTCCAGGGTCTGGTAGTCATAACTGAGAAACACATGATGGAAATGATAAGTGATTTATTTATTGTTTAGGAGAGAAAGGCCGGGGGAGGACGCTGCTCACCTCGGATGCCAAATGATGGTGTCTGTTTTCATGAGCTGCTCTGTTCCCTCAGCCACGCGGAGGTCGTGTTCTCCCACAATGATCTGCATGGCATAAGGACTGACAACCACAGCTATTGAGCAGAAACTAAACAAGCAGCAGGTTGCAAATACACACAAGTTTCTATACAACTGGGATCTTCGAGTCACTTCAATTATTAAACCTATTTTTAGTTTCTCAAATTCATATGTTATTTATTCCTGTAACCCTTTTACAACATTTGTAACCCTTTTACAACATTTATGGACATTTGTCATCATGGATCACTGACTCCATGTGTTTTTATTAATTGTTGCATTTCCTGTGTTTTAAGTGTTTGATTCTCTGATCTGTTTTGGCGACTTAAGGCAAGGCAAGGCAAGTTTATTTGTATAGCACAATTCATACACAAGGCAACTCAAAGTGCTGAACAAGATAGCATTAAAATCATAAATAATCACAGAACATTAAAAAGAAAGATAAAAATATAAAATCCCTCAGTTGTATGCACAGCTAAACAGCACCGTTTTTAACTTGGTTTTAAACATTGTCAGAGAGGAGGACTGTCTCACATCTTCAGGAAGAATGTTCCAGATTTTAGCAGCATGAATCTGAAAAGCAGCCTCCCCATGTTTAGTTCTGACTCTGGGCACTGACAGGAGTCCAGTCCCTGTGCTCCTCAGAGTCCGGGCTGGTTCATATGGGACTAACATGTCACTAATATATTTTGGTGCGAGGCCATGGAGAGACTTGTACACAAGCAAAGCTGTTTTAAAGTCTATTCTCTGAGCCACAGGAAGCCAGTGCAGAGATCTGAGGACCGGACTAATGTGGTCGTACTTCCTGGTTCTAGTCAGGACTCGAGCTGCTGCATTTTGAATGTACTGCAGCTGTTTTACAGCCTGTTTGGACAGACCTGTGAGCAGGCCATTGCAGTAGTCCAACCTACTGGAGACAAATGCATGGATAAGAATCTCCAACAACTTAACAACTTTGTCCTCTAAGATAACTACTGTTGTGATTTATATACACAAATAAATTGAATGGAATTGCCAACCATGGACAGCACTAATACAAGAACGGTGACGTCGCCCGGCATGGCGCAGCCGGGGCCCCACCCTGGAGCCAGGCCTGGGGTCGGGGCTCGCAAGCGAGCGCCTGGTGGCCGGGCCTTAGCCCACGGGGCCCGGCCGGGCTCAGCCCGAAGGGATGACGTGGGCAGTCCCTCCTGTGGGCCCACCACCTGCAGAGGGGTCCGTGGTGGCGAGGTGCAGCGAGGACTGGGCAGCAGTCGAAGGCGGAGACCTCGACGACCCAGTCCACACACCCAACATCTGGCTCTTGGGATGTGGAACGTCACCTCACTGGGGGGGAAGGAGCCCGAGCTTGTGGGGGAGGTCGAGCGATACCGACTAGAGATAGTCGGCCTCACCTCCACACACAGGAGTTGGGCTCTGGAACCCAACTCCTTGAGAGGGGTTGGACGCTCCACTTTTCTGGTGTTTCCCGCGGGGAGAGGCGGCGAGCTGGGGTGGCCATACTCATTGCCCCCCATCTCAGCCGCCACGTGTTGGAGTTCTCCCCGTTGAATGAAAGGGTCGCGTCCCTCCGCCTCCGGGTGGGGGACAAGTCTCTCATTGTTGTGACGGCCTACGGGCCTAACTCCTTGAGAGGGGTTGGACGCTCCACTTTTCTGGTGTTTCCCGCGGGGAGAGGCGGCGAGCTGGGGTGGCCATACTCATTGCCCCCCATCTCAGCCGCCACGTGTTGGAGTTCTCCCCGTTGAATGAAAGGGTCGCGTCCCTCCGCCTCCGGGTGGGGGACAAGTCTCTCATTGTTGTGACGGCCTACGGGCCTAACGTAGTGCAGAGTACCCGGCCTTCTTGGATTCCTTGGGCGGGGTACTGGACAGTGCACCGCCCGGGGACTCCGCTATTCTCCTGGGGGACTTCAACGCCCATGTGGGAAATGCCAGTGACACTTGGAGAGGGGTGATCGGGAAGAACGGCCCCCCTGATCTGAACCCGAGCGGTGTTCAGTTGTTGGACTTCTGTGTCAGTCACGGCCTGTCCATCACGAACACCATGTTCGAGCACATGGGTGTCCACCAGTGCACGTGGCACCAGGACACCCTAGGCCGGGGGTCGATGATCGACTTTGTTGTCGTATCATCTGACCTTCGACCGCGTGTCTCGGACACTCGGGTGAAGAGAGGGGCGGAGCTGTCAACCGATCATCACCTGGTCGTGAGTTGGATCCGCTGGCAGGGCAGGAGGCCGGTCAGACCTGGCAGGCCCAAGCATGTAGTGAGGGTTTGCTGGGAACGTCTCGCTGAGCCCCCTGTCAGACGGACTTTCAACTCACACCTCCGGGAGAGCTTCTCCCAGGTCCCGGCAGAGGAGAGGGACATCGAGTCCTCTATCGCCAATGCGGCGGCTCGTAGCTGTGGTCGCAAGGTCTCTGGTGCTGGTCCCGGCGGCAATCCCCGAACCCGGTGGAAGACACCGGCAGTAAGGGATAACGTCAGGCTGAAGAAGGAGTCCTATCGAGCAATGATGGTTCGTGGGACTCCGGAGGCAGCTGTCCAGTACCGGCAGGCCAAGCATGCCGCGGCCCGGGCTGTTGCAGAGGCAAAAACCCGGGACTGGGAGGAGTTCGGAGAGTCCATGGAGCATGACTATCGGTCGGCCTCGAAAAGGTTCTGGCAAACCGTCCGGCACCTCAGGAGGGGGAAGCAGTTCTTTGCCAACACCGTGTATGGTGCGGGAGGAGGGCTGCTGACCTCGACTGGGGATATTGTCGGGCGGTGGAAGGAATACTTTGAGGTTCTCCTCAATCCCCCTGTCACGTCCTCCGTTCAGGAGGCAGAGGCTGAGGATGTTGGGGCGGATACTTACATCTCCCTGGCCGAGGTCACCAAGGTGGTTGGCAGCCTCCATGGTGGCAAGGCGCCAGGAGTGGATGAGATCCGTCCTGACTATCTAAAGTCTCTGGATGTTGTGGGACTGTCTTGGCTGACACGTCTCTGTAGCATCGCGTGGCGATCGGGGGCGGTGCCAATGGAGTGGCAGACCGGGGTGGTGGTCCCTCTCTACAAGAAGGGGGATCGGAGGGTGTGTTCAGCCTCCCCGGTAAGGTCTACTCCAAGGTACTGGAGAGGAGGCTACGGCCAATGGTCGAATCTCGGATTCAGGAGGAGCAGTGCGGTTTTCGTCCCGGTCGCGGAACACTGGATCAGCTCTATACTCTCCATCGGATACTCGAGGGTTCATGGGAGTTCGCCCAACCTGTCCACATGTGCTTTGTGGATTTGGAGAAGGCGTTCGACCGTGTTCCCCGGGGTGTCCTTCGGGGGGTCCTCCGGGAGTACGGGGTCCGGGGTCCTCTGCTGAGGGCCGTCCGGTCCCTGTATGACCGGAGTCAGAGCTGTGTTCGCATTGCCGGCAGTAAGTCAGACCTGTTCCCGGTGCATGTTGGCCTCCGCCAAGGCTGCCCTTTGTCACCGGTTCTGTTCACTGTATTTATGGACAGAATTTCTATGCGCAGCCAGGGGCCGGAGGGGGTCCGGTTCGGGGACCACAGGATTTCATCTCTACTTTTTGCGGATGATGTCGTCCTGCTGGCTCCAACGAACCAGGACCTGCAGCATGCACTGGGACGGTTTGCAGCCGAGTGTGAAGCGGCTGGGATGAGATTCAGCACCTCCAAATCCGAGGCCATGGTGCTCGACCGGAAAAAGGTGCCTTGCCCTCTGCAGGTGGGTGGAGAGGTCCTTCCTCAAGTGGAGGAGTTCAAGTATCTCGGGGTCTTGTTCACGAGTGAGGGAAGGATGGAGCGTGAGATTGACAGGCGGATCGGTGCAGCGTGCGCAGTGATGTGGTCTCTGTATCGGACCGTTGTGGTGAAGAGGGAGCTGAGCCGAAAGGCAAAGCTCTCAATTTACCGGTCAATCTTCGTTCCCTCCCTCACCTATGGTCATGAGCTGTGGGTAATGACCGAAAGAACGAGATCGCGGATACAAGCGGTCGAAATGAGCTTCCTCCGCAGAGTGGCTGGGCGCTCCCTTAGAGATAGGGTGAGGAGCTCGGTCACACGGGAGGAGCTCGGAGTAGAGCCGCTGCTTCTCCACGTTGAGAGGAACCAGTTGAGGTGGCTCGGGCATCTGTTCAGGATGCCTCCTGGACGCCTTCCTGGGGAGGTGTTCCGGGCATGTCCCACCGGGAGGAGGCCCCGGGGAAGACACAGGACACGCTGGAGAGACTATGTCTCTCAGCTGGCCTGGGAACGCCTTGGGGTCCCCCCGGACGAGCTGGAGGAAGTGTGTGTGGATAGGGAAGTCTGGGCGTCTCTGCTTAGACTGCTGCTCCCGCGACCCGGCAACGGATAAAGCGGAAGAAAATGGATGGATGGATGGATGGATGGATGGAATTGCATTTTACATCTTTTTCTTCACCTTTATCAACACATCTGGAATATGTTTCATGACATTGAGGCCCACCTTGAAAACAAGATGTTAAATCTCAAGACACTGCCTACACATTTTAATAGTGATAGGAGTTGCTTTGCTAATTATGATGAATTCACACCATTGTCTGAGAGAAAATAACATCTTAAAAACAATGTCATAACTATTAATTGGGGAATATCCTCAAAATGTTGCATCCTATCACTATCATTATTAGCTACTTTTAGAATTATGGATCAATAAAGTATCTATATCTATCTATCTATCTATCTATCTACTTACCTACCTACCTACCTACCTACCAAGTGTATCCATCCATCCATCCATCCATCCATCCATCCATCTATCCATCTATGATCACCAGCTTAAGCTCAGGAATCTGAATGTGCTCTTACTTGTACCAGCAGTGGGCCACAGAGAGCACCCACTGGTCATTGATGAGCACCCCTCCGCAGAAGTGGTATCCGTAGTTAAGAGTGGCCATGTAGGGACGAGAATGAGGCTCACACTCCCGCCCACCAATGATCTTGCCCTCCTCCCGCGGAACTGCCACTGTCACACATGCACACTGTAGGATTACGAGGAAAGAATTTCATTTTTGGGACAATGCATGTGTCTCTGCTGCAAAATCAAATCAGATAAATCATTAGATATATGTTTCTTGAGGTAACTGTGCATTATTATTGAAAGCAAATTGATGGAGCAAGGGTAATCCACCAGTTTGTCTCATGTTCATTTCTAACTTTAATTTTTCTTCAATTGATTGGATTTGAATACTTTCTTTTGAGCCCTCAAAATTATAACATTCTTCGCCATACAAAACCCCCTGTACCCACTTGTCTAGGCAACAAATGAAGAACAAAACAAAACAAAGAAGTACAGAGAGGATCTGTACATCATATTTATCTATTTTTTAAAAGCTTACATTAGTATATGAACAGGTGTCTTTCCAATAGCATGATTTGAGTTGGAGCGCCTGTAATCCGGAGGGACAGACAAGAAAAGTATGGCAACATTTTTCATGGAATCAAACTTTCAAGAAAGAACATTTTCCCATGAATAATGTTTGTCCCAACAGGAGAATTTTGAATAAATCCGACCACAACATACTTTCTTATTCAAAAAGAGGTTATTTTTTCCAAACTGTGATTGGCTGGTGGAGGGTGCTTCTCCCTTTTTCACTTTCCAGTCTGAAAAATCTGGTCTAAAGATGTAACAGAAAGCAAAGCTATGTGTGAAATTAGTAATTCAACTAAACTGGTTTGAGAGCGAGGGCGCATGTTTTATTACATAGGTCTCTGGTTTGAAATTTAGGCTTTAAAGTTTGAAGTAGAAAAAACCCTGTCAAAAAATCACAATTTCAGACAAACCGGTGATGGCTGCACCAGGAAATCAAAATCACCTTTGGATCAATACATTTTGGTATTTGTTTTATTGTGCAGCAAAACTGAATACTATACACATTACGGTAATGCTGGCACTGACTTCCTTTGTTGTTCTGTTTGTGTGTGTTTGTGTCTATTTGTGTGTGTTTGTGTGTTTACCAGCAGCTCCCACCAGCAGCAGCAGCAGAGCCAGCAGTCTCATGATGATGTCGATGAGAAGACGTCCGCACACACCCTGACTTGTTTTTAAAGCCTCTTCTACACCTCCACACCTCCCCTGGCTTCTGTCCACATCTGTGTCCTTCCAGCCCTGACCTCTTATCAATTTTCCTTTTTGTTTATGTTTGCCCGCTCCTGCCGCGCCAAGGCACCCCCTGTGGTTATATCATCTGTTCGACGGTCTCTAAGCACACCACATGGCTTGAACCCATTAAGCACCTGCTTTAGTTTCCATCATGGGTCACTCATTGCTGGCGCAGAACTTTAGAAAACATGTTTTCCAACTACATTTTTAATAGTGATATTTACATAAAAATTACCATCTTCTATTAAACTGGACTACCTAACTTTTAAAACTGATCTACAGCCGTCTGTCCAAGGAAGCGGATCCCTCTCTTCCCGAGGTTTCTCACTTTTTTTCTCACTGTATTTGATTAGATGCTTGCCAATGCAGCAGGGTCCAAGGACAGTAGCGATTCATGATGTTTAAGGACATTTACAGCTATTCGTTGGTCATCAAGCCTCTGTGGACCAATTTCATTTCCTGTGTTTGTGCGAAAATGTTTGCTTCTCTGATTTGTTTTTGGTGAATTGACAAATTTGAAGAATCCTCTGTGATTAAGGACTGTAAAAATTAAATAGGTATTTTATTTTTACAGTCCTGTGCTCTCAACACAGTAGGTATTTTTTGGCTTGGCTACAATCTGACCTGTCGACAAATATGTTCAACCACATTGACATTCAGTTAAATAAATAAATAAATAAAATAAAACCAATAAATAATAATTTAAAAAAAACCTGTGTTGACCTGGAATAAAACTCATTTGAGGTGAGAACATGGTCATCTTCTTGAAATCTTCTTGCATCTATTTCTATGTTTTCTTATATTCAGAACACTTTTATAAGATATCAATACTTTTACATAAAATAGTTCAAACTCATTAGAGTTACTACATAACTAACCTGTTACAAAGTAGTTCATGCACGTACATGGAAAAGGATAAAGATAAGGTTGTTTTTGCTGCAGGTGCAGAGGCAGAGGGCTCGTTGCCAGTGGGAGGGTCAGTGTGGCCCGGTCTGAGCTGAAAGACACACATAAATAGAGTGACTGGACTCTCGCTCATGTCCAGTCTAAGGAAGAGTCAAGATGGTTTGCCTGGTTGTGCTCATGCTCCTGGGGGCTGCAGGTAATAGGACTATAACATCAAGCAGACCACATATATCATTACTGCTTCACTTATGACAACAGCGTGTGATTGTGATGGACTTTTCTAGCTGCTGCGCCTCTGGATGACAAGATCGTGGGGGGGTACGAGTGCACGCGGCACTCCCAGCCCTGGCAGGTGTCCCTCAACATCGGGTACCACTTCTGTGGAGGGTCCCTCATCAACGAGCAGTGGGTCATCTCTGCTGCCCACTGCTGGCAAAAGTAAAGCCCTACACATGAGAAACCAGGAATGTTGTGTCAGAGCTAAGCCTGGATAAAACCTGCCAGATCATAGTGTCAGGGATTTAAGCAGACAGAGACGGATCGTGGTGTGCCAAACTCTGGAAGTTTATTTAAGTTTCTCTCAAGTTCCACTGGTTTACTCTGTTTCTTTCTCCCAGACAGAATAAAGGCAGTACACAGTTTATATAGTCATTGTCACGTCACACATCGAAAGACATACGTGTCACAAAGAGACAGTCACATCATAGTCATAACATGGAGTCCTTGTAGAGTCCTTGTACAGTCCTGCACGTAGGCCATATTGCTAATACTAACACCCTCCCCTTTGATCACATAATCACATGTGATCACTCAAATCGATCAATCAATAAAATGGAAAAGGAAAAAAAAAAAAAAATTCTAAAAAAAAACTTTAAAAAATTATTAAAAACAAAGAAAATGTATGCATTAAACTCATAATCATCAAATCAATATCAGTGGATTTTATCCTCTATCCTGGGAAAAAATAAAAAACACAAATAAAGTAAATAAACAAACAAAAAACAAATCAAAAATAAAAACAAACAAAAACTATTGGACACACAAGAACTCAGCAGATTCAGTCAAAACACAGACAAAAACGAGCTGAGTCTCAATTTTGAAGCTAATTTCACTTTTCTTACTCTATACTTTTATTCTAATGCTAATTGTTTACACTACACTTCACTTATTTCACTGTATTATTTTCACTTTTTAATCTTAGACTGTGTACTTTACTCTCTATTCACTATAGTTTAAAACTATTCTAATCTATTCACAAATATGTGTTGCATATTTGCTTCTATTGAGCCATATTCTTAAACGTACATTTTAATCTAATAAATCTCTCTATTCTGTGGTTTTATACTCTCATTATCAGTGGCTTATTGTTAGTGGGATTTTGCTCCATGTCTATTCTCATTCTCAGGAATAAAACTGAACACAGTAAGGCAAATGGTCAACATTTACACTTCTATAGTGGTCAGTGATTTATTACTTTTTATTATCTCAAGATATTATTGTCAGGCAGTTTGGGATGAATGAACATCATTAATCAAATTAGTATTATCCTTACAAGAGCTAATCTATTTTAGCAGGTTTGGGGTTGGGGTCAGTTATTCTACAATGGTGTTTGTGCTGGAAACTTCTCAATATCTAAATATCTACTATTGTGTTTTTGTGCTATACACAAATACATCAAAATGCTTTTGAATCTCTGTTGGTTATAATCTATCTCATTGATCTAGGCATTAATCTAGACTACACTCATATGGACTTTTGCATTGTCAACATTCACTCATGTGTGAACACAAGTGAATTTGGCAAGTATCTAATAAAACTGTACATAAACTGTAATTAACTTTATCTACTTTTGAAGTAAATGTTTGTGAAATGGTCCCTTTACCATTTGATATTAGCACTGGCTAAGAATATTCTCTATTTTTGAAAGCATCTATGGTTGATGCATTCATCTATCTCTATTTTTACACTATTGTGACTCCAAAGTTTGGCTGCAGTTTGAGCAAAGGCATATTCCTAATTTGTGACTTCTGTCACTTTTAATATCTCTAAAATACTCTGATTCTAATATTATAGCTGATCTATCAAAAGGATAACATTGTAGGGTACTATTTTAACTCTTATGTGGAAATATGTTTATGAACAACAAAGGAAGTCAAATTCTACTCTTTTACTACTATTTAACATCTACTAAAACGCTACAATACTCATACTTTATCATTTTCAAAGTTTTTGTCTGTCAGATGTCTGAATACTTAACATGTATATTGCATTTGTCACAGTTGTGGTTCTGGTTGTAGCATAAGCATCGGCAATAGACGTTTTTCATTGGCTGGTTCTTGTTCCGCAAATGGCTGTGTCCAATAGATCATCAGATGTCCAGAAGCTAGGGACAAACAAAAACAAAAGAAAGAATCATGAGTATCTGTCTCATTTAGCACTCATCAATGTATGATTTCAATAATATAAACATCACTCCCCAGTTTTTCTCTCTCAGGTCCTCAGGTCCTCAGGGTCCCCTGAGGGTGAGTCTCAGTCGTCATCAGGTCAGGTCATATTTCGAGAGATGTCATCTTGGTCATCAGTAGGGTCCAAGCCATGGTTCTGGTTTCTCCAGATGCACATCAGGATCTCCAGATACAGTCTTTTCACTTGAAGCACATCAGGTCATTTGCGATGCACTTCTGGTCAATGGTGCAGTGTCTCAGTTCCTGTACACAGCTTGTTATGCAGTAGTTACTTTCTATGGTTAAGTCACTTTGATTCTACTTTAACACAATTTCTATTCATGCTGTTGCTAATGTCTCTCAGACAAAAGCAAGCGCAATGATTCAGTTTACTTCTCTAATTTGTGTTTTTATCAGATCTAATTCTCATCAATGTAATTACTTCACACAGTACAAAATCAACAAATCAAAAGTGTCAGGACAGAGGTCAATTAAGTCCATGACAATATAGAATTCAAATGAACATTTCTGGTCTCAAAAAATACTGATTCAAATAAAGATTCAAGTGATAGACAATTAAAAATATTTGTTTACATTTGAGTAAACTTTTAAAATGCTTTTTTCTCATGTTCTGCTTTTTCATGTATCTATATGTAAATGTGAATGTGTGAGTGTATGGATGTATGTATGTGTGTGTGTGTGTATGGTGGGAATTTTGGGGTTGTCTCTCCAGACTCCTCGAACCACCTGTAGGTCTCAAAGGTCACACTGTGGTGATGTAAACCAACTGGACACACTTTCAACTCTCATCCAGGTCTCTGCCTGATGCTCCACCCATCACTGCCTCCAGAAACCTCCACTTTGTGGCCCCGGTCTCACTCCCACTTACTTCTGTAGTTGGGGGAGGGGCGTAGAGGTGGCATTGTTGCCCTTTGCTCTTAGCTTTGTGACCTGTGGCTGGGTGGGCTTTGGTGTCCAGTGTCCAGCAGTGACCTCTCGTACAGTGTGCCAGAGTCTGAAAAACAATCCTTGAGACGGCCAATTTAAAAAAACAATAGATATCAGTATGCGAATGAGATTGTTTTTCTCCCTAAAGTCAAAACAATTTTGGAGCGCTCTGGGTTTTCCCAAGCGCTATGTAAATAAAAGATTACTTATTATCTTACTAATGATGACATTTTAAAACCAGAAACTCTCAATATAAAAAACAAGACTCAAATCTCTTAAACCTTCTTAAACTTTAAAAAAATGTATTCTATTTTGTACTTCTGTACTGTGTGATGTTTTTAATCTTGGCTTGCTTGGGTAACTAAACTGGATTAATCACTTTATGGAATTTCCCTTTTACACTTGAACATTTATAGCATATATTCTAATTTAAAATAATTGCTGCATTCTTCAAATGCACTCAATAAACTTTTAAAAACATTTTGAATTGGAAGACACTATCAAACTCTGCTCGCCCTGCAGTGAGCAGCAGCTGCAAGGCCAGAGCTATAGACAAAACAAAACTCACAAAACTCGCAGCTTTTAGACTGTAAATTGGGT